ACCTGCCGTGCGCTCGCCGCGGCTGCCGGCCTCCCGCGGGGGCTGCCCGGAGAGGCGCTCGGGGCTGGCGTTTACGAGCGAAAAATCCTCCTCCTGACGGGCGGCAGCGGAGAGGAGGCGGCGGACGGGGCCGCCCCGCTGATCGCCGGGGACCGCCGGCCCCGCGGGAGCTTGAACTCCAGTGGAAGGAGTCCGCGGGAGGAAGCCCGGAGGCAAAGGAGCGCTTCCCAGCTCTCAGCCGCTCCTCCGCTCAGCGCGAGGGATGGCGAAGCGGGCGATCCCCCGTCGGGAGGGTTACTTTTGCTCCGCGAGTGGCAAACGAGAACCACCCCCCCCGAGTGATTTGCACCGAGACGGCTGCAAAAGCACAGCTCAAAACCCCACCCGCGTCCCTCGGCGCCCCCCGTCCCCGGTGCCACCGTGGCTCGGCCGGCCTGGCCACCCCGTCCCCGACACCGCGGCAGCAGCAGCTGCACCCACCGCCAACCCCACCGCCACGGCGGTAGGAAAGTAAAGATCGAAAGAGGGGGTTGGAGGAATGTTCCCCGGCCCCCTGCGAATCTGGATGGAAAGAAAAAAAGAGCACGGCACCCAAAACGGGAAAGTCATGGTCCACGAGAAGTCACAGGGGCCCTTGAAAGCTCCAAGCAATACGAACTCAGTTTTAAATTGAAGTTACGCTGTTGGAATTGTGTTTTGTCCATGTTTAAACAAAAGAGGGAGAACCTGGCACTCAACAGAAATCAAACATTAATTCTATGAAAACCAATCAAACTAGTACATAAGGGAAGTTAGGAATGCTTCCTTTCCAGGCTTTTGCATGGAAATAGTTCACAAGTATCACTGGGACTTCCAGAATGTCACCACCTACTGTGATGTGAGGAATACATCAAACTACAAAACAACTTCTAGAAAAGAAAATGCTTAAAAAATGCTAAGCACCAAAAATGACTTTCACCTAAAACATCATAAGAAGTCAGAGAAAAACAATAATTAGATACTGGTGGAAAGCAAATCATTTTTAAAGGGAATAGATTGGTGTGACCTTTCTTCCAGTTACAGCAGTGACTTCAAAGGTACAAACTCAGATGACTGACAAAATAGAAAATGGTGAGATGCTGAGTGTTTAGATTCTCTTCTAAAAAATTGCTAACACCTGCAAGTGGATGCGGATTAATTTAAGGAGAAATTGCAAGTGCGCGATACCTCTCGAGGCCAAAGGTGTGACCTCAGCACTCAACTGGGGGGATGCACCCTTTGTAAAACTGTGTGTTAAAGAAGGGGTCCTTAGGACAGTTACAAAGAACATGTTTATGTTTTCTGGGGGCAGGGACAAGGAAGGAATGAAGAATGTTTCTTAAAAGTAGGGTTTTTTCTTAATTTTCTTATAAGACCGTATACTATGTTCTTACACAACAGAAACCCTGAGATAAAGTTTCAATCATGTGGACATGACAAGCTCATACAACAACTTTGCTCTCAGAAAGAACACTTCAATTACGCATCTGGTAGGAGAATTGCTGCCTTTCAACCACAACAGTGGTCACCGAAGTCTAACTAGCGCTTCCTATAGCATGCATTGTATAAGCGTTTGTACAAAATAATGGAAAATACTCACTTTAAAGTACTCCATCATGTCTCAGTTTGGTAAGGATGCTGCTGACAACATTTTAGAAGCCTGTATACAACAGGGGATATTGTTACCTAGGGAAAGATGATGGAATATCCCATCCAGCACAGCAGGAAGAAATAGGGTTCCCCAGCCAGCCTGGATGCGGGTGCCATGAGGGAAGCAGAGCTGGAGGGAGACGTGCACCGCAGAGGCTGTTGTCAGTAAGAGCTGTGCATCTCCCCGTACGAAAGCCCGACCTCTGGCTCCCGCACCTCCAGCCAACTCCCTGCTCCTCTTACAGCAAACAGGCACAGACAGAAAACTGACAAACAGGCTCCAATGAACTCAAACTTGGGGTCAGCTGAGATCATTCCAGTCATTCAGCCAAAAGCCAAAGCAGCAGGATCATCTGGTGACTTGGACAAACTGCAGTATCTCAGACAAGCCAGAGGTTGGTTATAGTGGGTCTGGTAAAGCGGTAACACTCACGAGAAACAGCCCGGTGATTCTGGGGAGCTGCAGGGGCCTTGGAGGGTGGACAGCCCCCGCACAGCCCGGCATGCGAGTGTCCTGTGTCAGCAGAGCCTGTGGCCAGGGCTTCCCTATTCTGCAGCTCTGGAGCTAACCCCAGATTGCTCCTGGGCTTTTTTTGCTTTTGCGGGGAAAAATGACATTTTGGAGGCTGAGAGCTGGAATGGAAACAATACTCGAGTTCTTGAAATCTCCTGTGGGATTGAGTGATCTTCCCTCCACACAGCTCGAGCGTCAGTCTGCTGCTTCTCAGCAGCTCTGAAGCCCTTATTCCCAAAGGCCTTGTGACCCTTTACCAAAACCTGGGGGTGCTGGTAACCTGTCTTCCAGCGATGGCACTGCACTCAGCAGCACTGCTCACCCCGTCACACTGGCGACATTTAGACTAGTAGAAGTGCAGGAATAGCAGTTGTATTGCTTTCCAACCTCCAGCAGATATTTTTCCATTAAAACAAACCGTCGGAACAGCTCTGCAGAGTTGCACAGTTGATCTACAAATACTGTGACAAAACCAACCTTTTTCAACTTGCTGCTATTTATAATCCCAAGAACAATACTCATGTAATAAAACTTTCCTAGTAGAGTTAGAAGAGGCACTTTGTGGGCAGAGTAGTACAATTCCCAAAACTCACATTAAGAGACTTCAGTGACTTCACCAAAAATTTTTTGCATCGTTAAGAGACCAAACATATGAAGAAAACACAGTCTAAATCTGAGCCTTGGCCTAGAAGTGATGCTGCTGGCAGAAGCACAGGGCGACATCAGATTACCACCTGAACTCAATCCTGCCGCTTCTCTTCTCGAGGAAGGCAGTCGCCTAACCAAGTACAGAAAGATTCAGCAAGTGGTTTTCTTTTTAAAATCTCTTACTACCGTTACTTAAGATGATCTTGCCAATTGCTCCCTCGCACCATTGCACAGTATGGTTCATATATTAAAGTACTGACTGAAAAATGGCACCTTCTTGTTCATATCACAAATACCTGAGAAAAAAAGCACAAGATCTATGAAGCATTAAAAACTTACTAAAAACGCAGACATCTTTTGATACAAACCAGTGCACTTTTTGCTGTAGGAGACACTCCACCCATCAATTCCCAAAACTGTAAGGAAAGAAAGAACACAGCACAGCTGAAACAACAACCTCTGACTGTCCAGAAGAAAGCTGGCCCTCAGCTAGTGAGCTAATTAAGCTGTGTAAGAAAGAAACCTTAAGAATCACTTGGAGCCAACAGTGACACCGGGTTTCATCCAGAGCAACAACATGACTGTCTCCCTCAAACACACCACTTACTTACCTAAAAACCACTCCTGCACCAGACATCCCTCGTCTAATTAGTGTAGAAACATTTGACACTGTCTGCGTAAGGACTTTCTCTGGTCCTGCAAGATATGCATGCAAATGTGTTACATACAAGCATGGCACCAAGTACCTGTGAGTAATGCTGTGGAGAACAGTACATAGCAATTACTGTAAAAAAAAAAATCTGCTATGAAACCTATGCAAAAAGCATTTAAACTGTATATGCCCTGTGTGTGACAGACAGATGGAGAGACAGGTACACTTTTAGTTACACGTGTATTAATTTAGTAAAGATATATAAAGCATAAGTAACCATTTTAAAATGGTACTTAAAGGTACATATGTTAAAAGGTATTCCTCTTCAGGGAACATCAGCGCCAGAACAGATACACTCAGTGAAAAGTAAAAAAACCCCGAGATTGGGTTAAATTCAAACAAAAGGGAATGAATTCTTCCCCACACCTGAGGAGATACGACCATGTAGAAATGCTGTGGCTGAGGTATCCCCTTGTGGCATTTGCTGTGAATCAACTCCCAGCATTACACTGCGCAGCTGACTGCAGCTAAGTGCCTCCTTTTGCAGAGGTACTCGTAAAAGAAGGGAAAAGACAACAACCACAACCAAGAGAAATGAGAGACTCTTTGCTGTAAAGCCTGTCGGCTTTTCCAACTGGTCTAATAAAACTCTTGCCCTCCAATTTTCTCTCCCAAGAGAAGTAAGAAGTTTTTATGAACTTGAGTCAAGGTGTTTGGAAATTTGGCAACGTCTGCAGAAACCAGCCTGCCAGTGTGAAAAAGAAAGCTAAATCATTCTGCTAGTGCCCCGAGCACAGGATCAGGAAAATAATTTTTTTCTAACATTGATTTTACTTTTCTGTCCTCAGGCAAGTCATTTAAAACATCAACCGACATGAGTGCAAACTCATCCTAAGAATAGCTGAAAGCATCCTAGTCTTTATTTATACTAGTTTGAGATTAACAGAGCATTTAAAACATAGGTTGTAGGGAGCACAGGAGCACTCCAAAACTATTCTAACTTGAGCCAAGGTCAGGCTGCTTCAAGAATGGAAAGGTAGAAATGCTCCACCTCTGTACTCACTGGTCCCAAACATTGCTTCCAGCTCCAGTGATTAATATATGTTACTTCATAAGGAGAATTTGTATGTCCCCGGTATGCCAATCTGAAAGCAAAAAAACCTTCTACCCCCAGCAAAAGAAAAGAAAAATGCAAACCAAGTACATAAAATGTATAAAAAGAGAATTAAAAAGACTTATAAAAGCCTTCGTGCTGTTACTCTGTTTACAGTGATCAATTAAATTGTAGGCACTTTCCACTTTACAATGTAAAAATAATTTTCAAGTATTTGGGAAATGGGGTGGAAAAAGGACAAGGGGGGGGGAAACTTTAAAGACCAAAAGGTGAAGTAATAGAGCGAATTCCAGAAAAAATATATACTGAAATGCTGGAGAGATTGTATTGCCACTTTCACTTACGTCTCGCTTTCAGAGGGCTTCCATTTTCAGAAGACACAATGGAGCCAGATACTTCCCCTCTCAGAGCTAGTCAGTGCCTTGGATAGCTTTTTAGAAAAACACAGGAGTGCATAGGAATGGCAAATACACAACTTCTTTATGTGGCCATGCTGCTGTTCTCATAAGTGCAGCTTCAATAAACATCAATAAAATAAGCACGATGCTCTGTTCTCCTGCCTTAATTGAGTAGATTAAGACAAAACAGTTGTTCCCGACTTGAAGTTTTTTTTCTCTAAGTCAAATACTTTAAACAAATGTTTAAGAGCAGCCAGATCATTGTGTGTGCCCGAGGGAATGTTTGGCGCTGGCAGAGGCACAGGTGGAACATTTCCACCGTCCTCTTCTTGAGGCAATCTTGGCCTTGGAACAAGACAGAAGCGTTTTCCATCTCCTCTTACTTGTGCTGGTAGTAATGTTCTCTAGGAGCCCATCCTGCTGGCTCAGCATTTTGGAGACAATGTCAAGTTCAACCCACAAACCTTCCTGCTCTTGGTCCCCCATCTACAATGAACACAAACAGGATTGTCAGTGAAGGTGGGCTTATTCTGCCTAGGTATTCTCCCACTGTAACAAGCTTCCAGCTGGATCTGCAAGCGACTTCTCCAACCCTTTTGCATCATGTTGATGTCAAAATCTGGATTTATGGAGGTCATTCCAATGGGGGATAGAAATCATTAAATTAAAAGGGCAAATAAAAGGTGCTTAATTTCATTTTCACTGGTGAGAACAGACTTCTTGTTGCCCTCTGTTAGCAAGATGGTGTTGCCGTTGGCTAGGTAGTTTATAAAAGACTTTGCATTAATTAGTAATGTATAATCAATGTTCATTAATTTGCTGCGTGTAAGCTAAATTGCATAAGAGAACGGCCAGCAGGCATCTAACCCAAAGTGTGCCACAGAGCACAGGATACACTAGAAACAGGCTGAAACAAACCGGTTTATGTCTCTGGGATATCCTGTTGCCTACAAATGGACAGAACAGACAGCTCTTGCTGGGCTGCTCTCTAGCAAGAATGCCTCAATGCCACAACACGCCAGCACGGGTAAATTAGGTGTTAGGTCACTACCCATTATCAGGCTAAATCTTCATAATTAATTGACTCATTAAGGAACAATAGAGAGGCATCATCTCTTTGCCCTTAGCTCCCCAGCTCCTGTCAACACCTAGGAGCATCCTCAACAGGGTAGCACCAGGAGGAAAAGTGCATCTCATTTCCCAGAACTCGCTACCATCTGCTAAACCTGGGTATTCCACACAGCACTAAAACCTGCCACATTTAGTTTATGTACAGGTGTTACAGTTGTAACGTGTAGGCCTGAATTAATGAGAAAATCATTATATATAATAGGTATGAAAACAGCATATATTTTAGAGAGAAATCTCTCTAACTTTAAATGCACACAAACCATAGCTGAAAAATTGAAAAAAACCCAAAATTTAGAGTTGCATACATTAATTTTCCAAAACAAATGAGGAATCTGAGGCTTCTGTTTTGGGGAGGTTTATGGTACACCTCTAAATTGGTGTCTCATAGTCCCATTAAAAATTCCATCCCAAAGGTGATTACACAAAACACCTGGCTGGATTAAACACTATAAAATAATTCCTCTTTTCTAATATTTGTTCATCTACAAAGCACCTCCTATACTCTGCCTCTCATATGGCCAGATAAATCTATTTATTTGAAGTAGAGGCAGAGTGCAGGAAGCCAGCCGGCCCCACGAAGAATAACAACCAGTGCCACGTGGGCTTTCACCACAATGACAACGGTGAAAAAAATGGAGTCAAACTGCTTCTTTCTGCTGTATCTTTTTAATTTCAAACACAAGTAGAAATCTGGAAAACCACGGTTATTAAACTCATTTTTTTGCTGGTTATAACAAGATTGTAGAAAGCTATCATAGATTTTATTGGTTAATTAAATATTGTCTGTTACTATCTCCACACAATACTAAATTTCTGAGAGACAGAGTATATGCTAATGGGTTAATAATGGTTTAATATTAACGTCTCTTTTAAAAAAAAAATAAATAATGCAGGTTGTCAAATAATTGTCAGATTGAGAATAGACCTGATGATTCCCCCCCCCCCCTTAAGACAGACTGGCTAAAATAAAAAAGAAAGTCTTTATCAAAGTAATGCACTTCCCAGGTGAGAATTAACTTCCTGAGACCGCCTAAGCCAAACCCTGACTCTGGGGCAGGATGACCTTTTACCTGTGTCAGACCTAAGAGATGTCTGTCTAGCCTCCCCTTCACAATGTCCATCAGCGCAGATATTTTTCTCTTCTCCTCTCTCCTTCTCCCTTTGGATAGAATCGACTCCGATCCATCACCATTCTTCCCATTAGAAAGCTCTGCTGGGCGGCTAATCTTGGAAGCAGCGATTTAAGCCCATAACTGCTGTTCTGCACCTTATGTATTTATTTGACTGTGTGGAAGCCAATACAGCTGCTCTTGGAGGGAAGGAAGGTGCTTCCCGGTCCCTACCCTTCACTGCCTTGTTCTCTGTCTGGATACAGTTCAGAAACCAACTGGGGGGTATAGGTTTTCAGCCTGTATGACTTTTGCAAGAAGCTGAAGACCATGCCTCCTGTGCAGCCTTCACAAAGCTCAATAGGCATCCAGTTTCCTAAATCTAAAGGAATGATCTCTACTTTTTTTCCTAACTGGATGGATGGGTTCAGAAAGCATAACTTACCTCTGGGTTTAATTTCCCTCTCTTATTTATAATGTCAAAATTAGCAGAACAAACACAAAGCAGAAGGAGAGCAGGAGGTGGGACTTGGTGCCTTGGGGGAATGTGTCATTCTGCACAAGTGGAGAGTATCCCCATGCCCTACCCTCTGTGCAAACAGCCTGCATAGCCAGTCAAAGTTATAAATACACACACGAAACAAAAATGTAGCAGAAAGAGGGTGCCAAATGTACTACATCCCTTGGACAACAACGGCAGCATCTGTCTTCCCAACGAATTATGAAGATTAGCTTGCAGTTACTCCATCACATAAAAGTTTCCAGAATTTTTCGACACAGCAAACTATTGAACCCAATCCTGTTTCCACTGAAGTCAGTGGTAAATTCCCAATGCAAACAGGAGAAGTAACCTTGCTTTTGAGAAGAAAAACATTCCTTGGTGGAAAAAAAATACGCATCTTTAAAACTTTCAAGCACTCTGCTGAGCTGAGGTTTTTTTACTCAGAACTGATGCAACACATTTTGCTCCTGCGTATATAACACACCCCCCAAACACTTACACACACACAAGATGGCTCGTATTTAAGCAAAGAAGAAAGTTTTGTCAAAATGTGGAGTTTATAAATAAAGTGTATGCATATAAAGTGTACACAGGTTGAGGAATGAGATTCTTGCCTGCTGATTTCAAGGTAAGTTTACCGTAAGATTTCCAAAAGATGGTGTTCAACATGGTCACCGTTAAAATGTCTGGATTTTTCTCCTGGATTTGTTGAGTTGCTTGCCATGGTCGTAGATGCTTTTGACAAGTTTTAAACCTAGAATGACAAGCACTGTTACTATGAAAGTGAAAGGAATATGACAAAAAGCAATGAAATTGAAATCCTTAAAATTAACAAATGACATTACCTCTTGACATTAGTGATGTCAGTAATGGATCACTAACTTCAGGGTACACAAAGCAGACTTGAAGAAGGAATAAAAAAAAAGCAAAACCATAACATTAAGTGTAGAAAAAAATAAAGTCACAGATACATGATAGAAAAAGTACCCTGGAAGCAGTGATGCTGAAAGAGACTGAGGCTTCTTGCTAAATAATCTACTGAGTAAGAAACGCCCAGTGTGAAATGACAAGAGAGAGAAGAACTGGCTGTGCCTCCAGGGAAGGCGGCAAGCATTGCTGTGCTCTGTCCCTTATGCCAGGATCCACACACTGAAAAGACAGTTAAGAAACTGAAAATATACAGAAAATGACTGAAAGACTCACTGAAGGCCTCAGAAATATCCTTCCATTTCTTAGCTCTGAGTCAAAGCTAAGAGGTAAGCGATGAGTTGATCATGGCCTGTAAATACCTATGGATAAAATTACAGTAAAAAAGATAATCTGTAAATAAAGATATTATCCAACTGTATCACTGAAAGCAAAAGCTATTCAACTTCAAAGCAAGAAGGACAACTGTATGGAAAAGTTAAACGGTAACCATAAATGCCTGACCAGCTTCCCAAAAGACGTGGTGGGTACTCAGGCCCTGCAGGCTTCAAGGCAGGACCCATGGTCCTCTCTGCAGGTACGTGCCAGCTCAACCTGGAGCTGTGAATTGCGTGTAGAAATTTCTGGGCAATGTTTCATGGTGAACAGACATCAGAGTCACAGTAGCCGTTCTGGCCTTTACACAGGCAGGAGATAGCAGGACACAGATTTTAAATAAAAAATCTTCATGGGAAAGCTAAATTCCAATGTTTAACGACAAGTTATCATTGTAAGATATTTTAACTGATGTAATACAATTTGAAGCACGTTTGGGCTGCTGTACATGTCCTGTTCGGCACATGTTCCAGCATCTGAGCTGGGTAGAAAGACTGCTCTCCCAGCCAAATCCCAAATATTCACCATCACTTTCCTGGGCAGGAGTTACCATTTTTCCCCCATCTCTCCCTTTTTTCCCTACACTGCTTCTGCTCCTCAGTTTACTGCCCTAACCACTCCCTAACCCAGTGCTTGCCAAATGAGTGGACCCAAAATCATGCTTTTAAAACTTTTAAATTAGCCTAGCTCATTATAGTTTTGACAAGAAATTACTTTTTTTTTTTTCAGGTTTGTTATATAGCCCTGCCCCATATTTGTACGAGGGAGTCTTGTAATCGCTTTGCAACACCACCATTCACCTTCCCAGTAGCTGGCTGTGTAGAGTGGGGTCTGCACGGATGGTTTATGACCGTACGAGAATGTCTTATCTGGTGAAATATTCTCCCATGCTCAGTTTGCTCATGTAAGAGTTACTCTAATAGAATTATTTATACTTTTGCATTCTTATTATAATACAGCCATGTTGAGGATACAGTGTCATCCGTACATACTATTTTATGAATCACTGACATTTTTTCAAAGACGTTATGCAAGTGTTGCAGAAGAAAATAATTATGATGGAGAGATTTCTAGTCCAGACCACAGCAGATCACAGACATTTCTTCTAAATATCAGGAGAAAGCAGCTGTCAGATGTTCCCATACGAGCACTACTGTATGGATTTGCAGCCATCTAACTTTCATAGGCACAAACATTTTCAAATTAGGGTTCACTTCACCAAAGCTGGAGTCTTCCAAACAAAACTAAACGAATCATTGCTTGGAGCACACAATAACAATCCAAAGCATGAATACGTGTTATTTCAATTTTTGGTGATGACAGGTTTGTTAATATACCCATGAGATGGAAGCCTGAAACCCGTACTTACATAAGCAACTTTTCTACATGTGACTGTACCAGCTGAGCTCAATAGCCACAGATTGTTTGCGGGGACTTCTGGGTGGAGCTGTATTTATCACTTTCTGCTGGTGATACGAATTTGGGTCCTTGTTTGCTTTATAAGCCATCGGATGACTCCAGGCATGCTAAGCTGTGTGGGTGTGAGGGGAGAACAAAGATCATGCAGAAGGGACTGCTTATTTGCTGGCTTTTGTTTTAACCAAGGCTTTAATTCCTTTTGTATTAGTCACAAGACATGATATTAACAAAATACATAGAATATCCTATTTTGACAAAACATTGCTGGGCTGCGGCAAAAAGAAACTACCTCTTCCCATAACCGAGCTTGCTTTGAACTTCCAGGAGCTGCAGTCCTTTAATATGAAAAGCTGACAAGTAAAAAAAAAATCTCTTAAATATTTATTCTAATTTAAGAAAACATTTACTTTTAAATATGAGGATCAAACCTGATTACTTGATTCCTGAATTTACTTCAGGTCAGGTTGTGTGGTTACTTCATGGTTGGGGTGGAGGAAAGCAGGGAAGAGGTTGCACAATAAGACAGGGATCACCACCCCCTCCCACCTTACTCCTCTACAGAAGTGCCAAAGCAGGGGCTGTCCTTTCCCCACTACCAAAGAGAAAAGATTTCTATGAGAAAAAGGCATAAAGATAGGAAAACAGCTCTGATCCCCATTCCTGCAGGCTTAGGGGTTAGAGCTGGCCAGTCTACAAAAGCTGTAAATCAACAGGAGTGCTTGTTTTGCAAAGCCAGCGGCTCTGGGGGTGCGCTGGGGGCTGGGCAAACAAGACTTCTGCAGCAATTGCACAAGCAAACTATTAACAGTGCAAATATAAGAGAAGTGGCTTTTGTGCAAGCTGGATACGGGAATATGTACGTACAAAACAGTCTTCTCAAACCTCCCTCCCAACAGAGGTCAGAGGCATTCCCAAACTGAATTTTTGCAAAGGATTGGGTTTTTTGCCTTAAATGCCCCACACTGGTGCCAAGATTTCAAGCAGTTGACTTGGGTGATGCTGTGTGATGACATGGCCTGTGAAGCACCTTGCAAACAGAAAATTTTTCCACAGTCCATGATTTCTTTATGATACAGCATTTTTAAGACAAGTAATGTTTTCATACACTCCTCTAGCTCAGAGCAGAAAAAGAAGCTCCCCCCCACTTTCCTTCCTCCAATAAGAGGAAAATCACCCTACTGAGGTCAACTGGACACAGAAATTGCTCAGCAGGGAAGGGAATTACAATCCCTGCTGGGGGGGGGGGGGCAATTCCATTAGAGAGGATCTCCATTTCTTCTTTAGGAAAGGCTATATGATAAAGTAAGACAGGCCACAGAGAGCAGTATTGGGAGTCTCTCTGGGCACAGAGAAGCTCTTCTTCTTCAGGGACTGGTCCCAGCGGCTCTGCCCAGGGAACTCACACGTCCACCACTGCTTGGCAGTCTTCCCATCTCTGAAGCTAAGCCCTTTAAAGACACCAGTTCCCAACACTGCATCTTCCTTTCCCAGACAACACACTACTAGCACTCACCAGAAAAGCTTACCAACAGCATCTGCTTTCTGATGGCCCCTTGCCCTGTTAGTGTTTTACAGATCTGCTTTAAAATACCAATACCGCTACTGCCAGCAGACAATGATTTGTTCTGGCAGCATAACGCTCTGGAGCTCACGTATCTGGGCCCATAATAGTTGCACTTTTGAAGCAGAGTTCCTTGAGGAAGCGGTGAATTCAGTGCTCTCCCCCAAACCCTCTGTGGAATCTGGAGAAGGCGGTCACCGTACACATCCATCTGTGGTCACAGCCTCA